CTGTGGTGGGGATGGTGTGGTTTGAGGTCACTGTCCTCTGTTAGAGTCATTTCCCAGGAAGACTCCGGTCCCAGGGCAGGGCCAGTGCTCTTTTCTTGTCTGCACCTCAAATAACTGGGAGTACCAGGGTGCGCGACGAGATGCCTGACCTTATATTCCAGAAACCTCTCATGTGGCCCTGGGCAAGTTTACTAACCTCGCTTCCTCATCTGTAAACTGGGGATGATGAGGAAGTTTTGGTGATGGTGTGTGACTAAGATTCTTAGCGCACAGCCTAAACACACTGTAGAAAAGGACAGTGTGTGTGAACTGGTCTTTCTCTCTTTCTTGCTTGCTTGCTCTCTTGCTTTCCTTTTCTTTCTTTCTTTTTTGGTGCTAGGTTTAATCTAGGTTCTTTGTGCTGAACTAAACCCTCAACCTTTCTGTTTTTTCCACTGAGACAGGGTTTCACTAACTAACCAGGCTGGGCTCCAGTGTGTAGTACTCTTGCCTTGGCCTCCCAGAGAGCTGTGATTACAGACATGTGCTGGATGCAGAAACTGTTTCTTGAATGAAAGTGTGAGCTGGATGAGCCCTGGCTTGGAGCCACAGCGATGGCAGATGCTGCCGGAGGGCCATGTGGCTGGGGTGACGGGCCCCGAGGGCACTGCCTGCTTGTTGCACTGCGCACCGGAGCCCCTGGCTCAGGATGAGTGTTTCCCTCTCCTGGCAGAATGGGGAGGGGCGGGGCGTGTGGTCTTGATCAACCTGTGTTTGAGTTTACCCTAAAGCTGCTGCACTCAGTTAAGGCGATGAAGGAAATTAGCTGCTCACAGAGATTCTCCAGAGCTTTCATGTTTGTTTATTTTTCTTTGAGGGCCTGAAGTTTGGAGCAGACCTTTAGTTTCCTCCCAGTCAGACACCAGGGGAATGATTGGGTGTGGCAGTTGCACACCAGCATGACCCTTGATAAACTACATGAAAGTTGCATTTGTAAGCAGAATGGGGAAGACCCCACTAAACCCACAGCCGTGTGTGTGTTTGTGTGTGTGTGTGTGTGTGTGTGTGTGTGTGTGTGTGTGTGTGCTCGTGCATGCACACAAAGGAAATCTCAGATGTGAACCTATGGACCGTTTGGTTGGAACAGCTTTTGTGCCGGCCTGTGATCACAAGCCATTTTTTATGAATCTTGGGGTCTTGTTTTGGGTTCTGATTTGCTCCCACATCTCCGATTTAGCAACCAGTTCTGTATTTCAGACCCTGTGCATTCCTGTTTATCAGTTCCCAGTTGCGTCCTCACACCCCTCTGACCGCCTGGGAGCTCTGCCCGCCGTCCCCGTCCCCGGCACTGCCCCTTCAGGAGAGAGAGGATGCACTGAGGGTGGCCCTGTGCAGGTTGGTGACTGCATAAAGCCATAGAATTTCACGCCTACATCATCCCGGGGTGGGCAGTGGGTAGTGGGCTAGCAAAGTGAGGAGGTGGGCTAGCAAAGGGATATGTGGCAAAGCTGAGTCATGGTTAATAATGATAAGCAGTTTGCATTCCCAGTGGTTATGCAGTTGATGAGCTGGTGAGAGTAAGGGGGTGATGTTTTGAATTTTTGGTATGCATTGCCTTAATTTGAATTGTGACTTTAACTGTTATGTTTGTACTATAAGGAAAGTTGTAAGAATAAATATATGGGCTGTTAGCCTGGATACCACCTTCATGCTGGAGATGGGGGGAATGAGGAGGGAGCCATGGAGGCAGAAACTGGGTGCGTCTGCTGCTCACAGAGGCACCGCGGGCAGCTCTGTCACCCATCGGAGCTTCTGGGGACAAGGACACTTCAGGGCTCTTGGCCCTGGCCACACTGGGAAAATCCCTGACCCTGAGACACACTGGTGACACCTCCCAGGGTGGAGCAGCCCCAGCCTCTGTGAGGCCAGACGGGAGGGTTCTAAACCACAAGGAGGCTGAGGGCTCCAGCTTGCAGGATCCACAGAGGAAACGAGGTCAACCCAAGAGGGCGGCAACCAAGGAAGAGCCACCAGAAAAACAAGGGAAAGGAGAAATGGGATTACTTAGGCCACCCCACCCACCCCTAATCCTGACCCACAACCAGGGACTGAAACAAAGCCAGCAACCAACAGTCTTGCTGGGGGCCAGATGGGTGGGTCTGTCTGGGCGGCAGCATTGATACTCTCCGTGGGTGGCCGGGCAGGACCTGTGATGCTGTGGCTCTTGGGTAGCCTTGCGAAGCCTTGTAGTCAGGGAGTGAGAGGCCTGAGACAGAGACAGCAGTGGAAGCCCAGCCCTCTCCATGCCGCTGAGAGTCACAGTGGGGGCTGGGACCTGTGAGCTGGGGGTCTAGGGGCCTTGGGGTCCTGGAGGTCCTGATCATGGACTGGAATTGAGTAATTCACTTTTTTTTGGTACCAGGAATTGAACTCAGGATCTTGTGCTTGCCAGGCAGGCACTTCTGCCACTGAGCTATATCCCCAGCCCTCATGGACTGGAATGGCATCAGGGCTAGAGTAGCATCAGGCTGCGGGAGGGTGTTGGAGGGGAATGCAGAGGGGTGATGCATGTTACCATACAACAGCCTGGGGCTGGCTTTGTTTAGAGATGGGCTTAGGCTCCAGCCTCCAAGACACACACACACACACACACACACACACACACACACACACATACACACACCTCACTCACATGCGCACACATGCCCTCACTGCACGCACATGCACACACTCACCCCTCACATGTACATGTCTCCATGGTTCTGGTGGTGAGATCTTCCTTGTGCACAACATTTAAGTGTGTAGAAGACTTGAGGATCTTCTCTGGGTCACTGTCAGGGCCAAGATAGGATTTTCACATCAAGGAGGGGTTGAGGGCAGTGATGGCGAAGTTTTTAGAGATGAGCGCCCAAACCCCAAACGCACTTGTTTATTGCAGAGTGCCAACACTACAATTAAGCATGAATACTGAGGTTTTAGTTTAGAAAAAACAACTCTACATTAGTATCTTTAGCTTTAAAAGAAAAACAATACGCATGCCATAGGTTCGCCACCAGTGGCCTAGGTCATCCCAAGGTGGCAGAGCTGGCCAGGTGCCCTCTGTCACAGCCCCACAACAGCCAAGAATGGCAGAAGCACAGCCTGACCCCGCTGGAGTGCGACTGTGGGCACTGAAGACTCTAGTCTGAATCCCGCCTCTGCCACTGCACAGCTGTACCAGACTGGACCAGTCAGCTACCTCCTCTGAGATGTGTTTTTCTTATTTGTAAAATGGGGATGATAATATCTACCTGCCGGGCATGGCAGTGCATGCCTGTAAATCCCAGCACTTTGGAGTCTGAGGCAGGAAGCTTGCCAGAAGTTTGAGGCCAGCCTGGGCTACATAGTGAGACTGTGTCTCAAAATACAAAAGCAAACAAAAAATGATATTTACCTCAGGTAATCTAAATAAGAATGGAAGGCAAAGGACCTAGCACACAGTAAGCCCTGAGCTAGCACCATCCTTGGTGACATTCTGTGACAGTCCTTGGGTCATATATATCAGCTCTGCATACAGACAAGTGTACAAGCCACATTTAGATCTTGTTTCTCTAGGACACTTAACAACTGACCCTTAGGGATGAAACTGAAGATCCAAATGCTCACTGCACTCTTATTAGCATAAGTGCTAATGCAACACAACTGTCCCAGGGCTAAACAATACTGGCAACCATGTCTCTGCTTGGCATGTGAAATATTATTTTTTCTCTCAAGAAGCCAGTTCAATTTTCAACTTTGTGTTATTTGAGTTGGAACTTTAGATTGCTGCATTTTAATGCCCTCACTGTTAGGGATCACTGGCTGGCCGTGAGGAAATATTTTTGTTCTCATAATGCAGCCCTGGCCAGGTAACCCATTGGGCAAAATAAGATTTACACAAATACTATCTTTCTGGGGTACACACTAAAAAGAAATCATAGAACAGAGCTGGAGAAAGCGTGTCCCTTGATGTTGGGTTATCTGGGCACAGTTGGTATTTAAAGAAGGGACATTTTATCTGCTCTCATCTCTAAAGGTCCCCTGCTCTCCCTGAGTTCTGTATTCCTGGGTGGATATTTCTGTTCTGGGAAGGGGGGCTTCTATTTGTGATCACTGAATTTCCCAGCCAAAATGAAGGTAAGCTAGGAAGGAGAGGACTCAGCGTGGGTCAGGGTTTTGGAGATTCTGACTCTGATTTCCCATAATTCCTGTCTCTTTTTGCCTAGAACAAGGAAGTGATGTGCCAGCGGGAGAAGTGCCCGGTGCTCCCGCGAGACTGTGCCCTGGCCATCAAGCAGAGGGGCGCCTGCTGCGAGAGCTGCAAAGGTGGGTCCCATCCTGGCTATGGCCTTGGCCTTGGCCTCCCACTGTGCTCACCTTTGTTTTCACTTTGATCCTGGCTAGGGAGTGCATGCGTGTGTGTATGTGTGTGTGTGCATGTGTGTGTGTTGGGGGACTGATGGAAAGGGAGGAAGGCAGGGTGAGCACCTGTGTATATATTTTTTGGGGTGTCATTGAAAGTGTCCTAAACAAGATGTGGACACAAAGCCTGTGTATAGTTGTACACACAATCCCCATGCACAGTTGTACACACACGTAAGCATTTTTGTCAACACGTTTCAACACTTGGGTTTCCCAGGCTCCACATTCACCCTCCTCTCCTCTGCCACGGGAATCTATAAATGCAAATGTTACCATTTTAGTTTTCATTAGATATTTCCTTTCTTTCCAAATTAAATTTAAGTTCCTCTGCTTGTCTTTGGAACAGCTCTGAAACCTCCTTACCCCACCCTGGTTGCTTTGTGTGACCCTCAAGGGTCATGTCTTGCTATTTGGCTTTCCTTTACCCAAGGGAGTCACCATGTAATCAGTGCTTCTCAAAGTGGCCATGAAATCTGCTATGAAATGCAGATTCCTGGTCTGTGACCATTGGTAGCTATAGTCACTGATACCATCAGCCTTTTAATCAAAATGATAGCAGCTGTGGTCAGCATTACCAATAGATGCTTGCTAGGATCCAGGCTGCGCATGCTCAGTTGTGGTCAGCATTACCAAGAGGTGATTACTGGGGTTCAGGCTTTGCATGCTCACACTGTAGTGTGGGAGGAACCAGTAGAAAGCTCTGCTTAATGTACTGAGAGGCTTAGTGACCTGCCCAGGGTCACAAAGCTTGTAAGTGCCAGAGATGGGAACAGATGTAGGTGGCCTGGTTCCCTGACTTAACATTTTCAAGTCTTTCCTGATTCTTTTATGCAGCCGGAGGCTGGAGCTGCCCTGTTGCAAGATGAAGGAAGGAGAGGAAGGGGGAGGTTGGCTTCCTTGTTGAGGGATGAGAACCTCATCCTTGAGAGGCTGGTAGAGGAATCTGTCCCAGTCAGTGTCTTTGGGGTGAGGACACTGTTCACTCTTTGTTGCTGGGAGGCTGTGGTTTTCCTCCAACCCTTTGCTCTCTTTCTATTTGAAAGTTTTACATTAGTTAATGATATAGGAACTAAAGTCAAGCAGCTCATTATAACTGAGAAAACCTGACCCCAATGCTGACCTGCTGGCGAAGGCTTATCAAGTCTTTCTCAGTCCTGAAGCTAAGTGGGGCTGAAGGCCTTGGTCCCAAGAGCTGGCTGACCCTCCCATCATTTGCTGGGACTTCCTTTGCTTTGTCTTTTTTGACCTCTCTCCCCCTTTTCCCTTCCTTGATGCAATTGTGTTTAACTTCAACTTTAACTAGATAACCATTATGTTAATAGATTATAATTCTAAATCATTTTAAACAGGAGAGAGAAGCCTAACCTGCCCAGAAATAATTATTTTCAGTTTATTGTACCTTTCCCAGATCTTATGCAGTTTATTACATGTATGTAGTCTGGGTTATGTGCTTTTTATTTATATAGAAATGGACTTAAACAGTATTTACTTTTTTGCAGTTTGCTTTTTAAAAACAATAAACATGATGTGGGGATTTTTCTCAGGCAAGTTCATGCTTTCTCATTTGCTGCATGAATTGCAGCACCAATGTACAATAATTCATGTAACAGCTCCCTGCTGGTGGATGTGTGGATATTAACCTTTTGCCGCGTCCCAGGGAGCCAGCTGGCTTTTCCTGCTGTGCCCACGTCTGTGTCTCTCAAGGACGGAGACCTGGGAGTCACACTGTGGTGGGAGGGATGC